ATTATTAGGAGTTTAAATATTTATATTAGGTTTCACAAATAAATACAGTCTTAACTAAAACTATTTTTCATTTATATTTTGCTAATTTGTTGATGGGGATTTAATAAGAAAATATTTAATGAATTTAAAATAGATAAATTGAAAGTTAAAGACAATCGGTAATTCATTATCAGTAGATATTACCTAAAAAAATATTATCTGTACCGAACTCTAATTTTGATGAACTCTAATTTTCTATTCAGTTAAAGAAGATTTACATAAATATCCGTACCGAACTGTCTCATGCTCACTCCTACAAGTGTTCTATCTTCATTTTATACGAAGAAAAATATCTACACAAACAAGAGCTCTGGCTTAACAGGTAGAAGAATTTGCAGGTGGTCAAATTTTGAGGCTTAACCAGTTGTGGAAGAAATTTGAGGATTTGAAAATTACTCATATTAGAGATTATGTTTCAACTTTTCAGCTTTGATCACTTTTTATTAAGGAAAAAAGAATCCTTGAACCACCAAATCGCCAGAACACCGACACTGGTTAAACGATTCCTATCGGTTCGACCGTTCTTAGACTTAAGAACTTAAAGCATGAATTTTCAAGGCATAAATAGGATATACAGTTCTAAATCTAATTCAAAGGAAGCAAACAATCAAAAAGAGCCTAAAGAGTTGATGGGTCAAAAGTTTTCACAACAATCTTTTGAAGTAACAAGAGATATATCGAAAAATGACACAAGAGTCCCCATCATCCCACGACAATCACAAACCAAATCCAACTTTGAATGGCTCATGTCAACCATGGATACAATCTAATGTACTCGCTTGAAATGTTTTGTTTCGTTTCATTAAAAATTGAAATATGGATGCAAGATAACAAATGTTGAACGAACCTACGAAGGAATATATCTATGTACATGAACCAACATATGAATGAAAAAAAACACAGTGTCTCACATAAAAAGAGACGTGGCAAGTGAATTACCCACACAAGACGTATTATCATCCATTCAGAGGAGCTGCCAGTCTTCATCATCTTCTGATTCACCAGTTACCAGCCGATTATAATAATCATGAGGCTCGTTATCTCTAAGTGCAACATGCTTATTGGCTATGGTAAATAACGGGGCACCGTTTGATTGACCAATTAGTTCTGATGCGCGTTCACAAAAATCATCAAAGTCACCTGTCGGACAAGAATTCCCCTAAGGTTTATGATAACTTGTTGGCTTTGATTAAAAGCCAAACATACGCACAGAAAGGGTAAAGAAAGTATATAAAAGAAGTATAAATTTCAAAAAGAAAAAAAAAAATAAAAATTTAAGGCATACATACTCTTGTCCCTGCAATAAAATCCTAGTGCCAAAGATGAATCGATAGAATCAAGAGGAATATGTCTGACAACACTGCACGTACAGACCCAATAAGTTAAGAAAATACTGAAAGATAACCCAGCATAAAATTAAAATGTAAAACATGATAAAAAGTAGTTGGTAAACTTTAATACTTTGATTTAATTTATTACATTAATTGCTTTCAAGCAGACAGATACTTTTAGTTGAAAAAGTAGTCTCACACACAAGTTTTTGTTATAAAAATAGCAGGGGAATGGAGAATAAACTTAACTTACTTGCAGTGGTAAGATGAAGTATCCAAATCTAGATTATCTCCCTTAGTGTCAACTACCTGCCAATTAAACAATTTAACTGAGTTTAATATTACTGCTGAAAATCACCATATAGGAGTTCTTACAAGCATCACGAGAATAGCAGCAACACGAGGATTTTTATATTTAGAGTATAATCGCAATGATGAAAGCTTATAAACAAACCATAGTAGTACCATGAGAAAGAAACGTGCGTGAGGAAATATTTAATGAGAACCAACTGGTGCTCAGTTATATTTTCAAACAACACATATTCTATTGTATTGCATAGCTTGCTAAAATCTGTAGTGCAAGGACTAATATCAAGTATTGAGTCACATGGCCACATGTAAGCAAAACATGACTAAGTTTTACCGAAGTATGGTGCATTGCACAAAGTGAAAAACCTGTCATAAAATTAAAGATACAGTTTGGACCCATGTCCACAGTTTTATAATCAAGCGAAAGTCTAATACTTGTTCCCAAAATATCATTTCCCCATTGACTCTTAACCATAAGTTTGACATCTTAATATTAGGTTTACTTTCAGAAGGTCGGTACCAAAATTAATTCTTGTTAATAAACCAACTATCTTCAAGAACAAAAAAAAATTTTACATATAATAATTTTCCTGATGATTTTGTTTAATATTCATGTATTACACGAGTGTTCATTAAGAAATTTATACATAAAAATAGTTTTAAAAAAATAAACATATAAGTCTTTATTTTAAGATTTTAAATATTTTCTTAAAATTGCATTATTTATTATTTTATGTCCATTGAATATGGAGCTGGAAGAGTCATTGTTGACAATTCTCCTGGCATAGTGCTAATGGACTAGATCAAAATGACTCATTTAAATTCTAGTGTTTCTTCTATTAGTGAAGTTTCTAGAAAAAAAATATATAAAACGACGCAACGCACCTTGGGTCGCTATGGAAACAGCCTCCTTGTATAATTACAAGGGTAAGGTTTGCGTACAACTGACACCCCAGACCCCAACCTGTTGGGAATATGCTGGGTATGCTTATGCTGGGTATGCATTATTTATTATTTTGTGTATACAATATAGATGTCAAATTCATGATCGCCAAAAGATTATTGTTTGATATCTCATATATGAAAGACGGTAACATATAAAAAGATTGTAAGTTTTAAAACACATTTATAATTTCAAGTGTTTTATGATTTTAAAAATCCTAACTGTTGATATGGCTCATATATTGACAAAGGAAGGAGACAGGCTGATGCCTGCGAGCGTAAGAGCGAACGTAGCGAGGGGAGCGGAGCGATCGAGCGGAGTGGAGCGAGCAGGCATCAGCCCTTGTTGGGCTGGGTCGATTAGTTCGGCCAGGGTTGCGGGGGTGGGGCCCTCGCGGTACGGTACGGGGTATTTAAGTAAATTAATACCTTGTGGGGTTATAGTATAAATACATGGTGTATTAATGTATTTGAGACTATTGAGAATAATAAAGATCCCTCCGCCGCCGTGGACGTAGGCAAATTGCCGAACCACGTAAATCTTGTGTTGTTTACTTTTCTCGTTTTTAATTCGTATGCCATATTGTCATCTTCATTCAACACTAACCTATATGGATAACCTCCAAATCTACATCAACCACCCAAATCGCAATAAATTGAGACATAGAACTACCACAATTTATAACACGAAAATAGCACTATACTGAGATACTTTTAGAGAGAAATTGTTGAACCTGTTGAACTTCATGTGGGTCCAGATAGAATGCATTTTCATCTTGCACTCCGATTATGTAAGTTGACGCACCAGGTCTTCCACCCAAAATGCCGAGGCTTTGTGGAAATGTGAATGTCGCACTCAGAAGTGGGAGATACCTATTGAAAGGAAAAAACAAAGGACAAGGAAAAAGTTACTAACAAAATCACACTGCCGGAGGATGTATGAAAGGAAGATAGAAGGATTGTCTCGTGAACTGTGAACTTAAAGTAAATGAACAGCACCGATCATTGAGAAGTCCAAATAACTCGTTTCTTACTATTTCTACATATGAAAACCTACAAATGCACATGCATCAGTCAACATTCTTAGTAGAATATGTAAACTTAATTTGAATCATCTTTATATTTTTCTTCAAAAATTGTTGAATCAGGCTTGCACTTATCACTAACGTAATCACTTGAATGACATTTTTTTTTTATTCAATCATTTGCATGTGCATCCAGTTACTTTAACGATCCCCACTGAAAAGAATAAACTTCAGCAACAGCCTCAATGCAATCATTTCTGGTGTATTTTTCAGATCTTTCACGAATAAAAAAATGCAACCACTTTGCGATAGTACATCTTCTGTGCTGAAATACTAGAATAATTTAAGTAGATGTAGTAGCAGGTCACATAAATATATACATTTTATTACTGTAATACAACGAGTTTTTCCAGTGATTCTAGGAACTAACTGGGAGCTAACTACAACGAAATGTGATAAATATATGCATTAAAAGTACTTGACTGAATTTACTCGTATCCAGAAAAAAAAAAAAAAAAAAAAAAAAAAAAAAAAAAAAAACATCTTAGGAAATGCACACAAATTAATTTTCTGCTTTCAGTAGCAAATGGATATTACACCTTAAATACAACCATTACATATAAGGCTTATAAGCAAATACCCGAGCACAATCCTATAATAACCAAAGTTTAACCTATGTTTTTTAAAACGTGCCAAATGCAAAGGACTTATCAAAAATATTGATCAGGCACCATGATGGATTCGAAACAAATGCAAAAAAATGCTACAGGACCAGCAAATAAGCAATTTTCAACAAATAAGAAGATACTTAAGAAAAGGAAGCAAACTTTAACCAAATATATTTCTAAATCCATAAGCTTTCGCATACATATATGTACCTAGGATTGACTTTCTCCAGTCCTAAAACCAAAGGAACCATCAAAATGACAGGAGCCCAACCAACTTGGCTTCCTCCAAACTCCGAACAATGTCGGGCTATATGCTCAATGCAGAGCACAGGAGCTCCACCCCTTTCCCCATCTTCATCACCAGAAACCACATATAAAGTCACCATTGAAGACAATATCCCACTATCTCTCTCCTTTCTCTTATCCCGTAACAAACTTTCCCATGTGCGACACATGGCATAGGGTCCCACCCATGATCCAGGGGCAAGACCATAACTCTTTCCCACTTGGAGAAGATTGTGTATGGAAAAAGGTGAGTCTTCCCCATCCCCAAAAAGATGCAATATTTCAATGTAATGTGGGTCGAGTGGCTTCAAGAGTAGAAAAAAAAAAAAAAAAAGATCAATACCAATTTCCATGGACTGGATTCAAACAAGAAAGACTTTATTCATCCCCGAGATAACGAATTTATGATATTACCTTGTGAGGATATTTCCTCCATGATCTCCCTAATTTGTGAACAAGAAATGCCTACACACGGAAGAATTGAATAATTAAGAATGATAGAAGTAAAATCTTCAATGAAACAAGCAAAACATACTAAACAAGAAAAACAGCATACATTACTACCTGAGCAACAAGCATCTGACTGCTTCGAAGCATGCACCCCCAGTTTATGTCGCTGGTGTACTTGGTATCCATAATGGGGGAAAATCCTAAAAAATGCAAGAAGAAGAAGAAGAAGAAGAAGAAGAAGAAAATATTATAATTATATATAATTCCAAAAAAAAAGGCTAACCAAAAAAATACAAACACCACACCTTTACGATACGTGATGAGGATCCGGGACGAGAAATCCTCAACGAATGCAGCAAAATCTTCGCTATGTGTTGGATTAGATGAATCCTCGCCATCCTGGGCAATCTGATAGCAACATCCTAAAATCCAGATGTCACTCTTGGAAGCCAGTTCACTTTGCCTGCTAAACCCTAACAATCGCCTCACTGATCCACCGTTCATCATTACCCGCCTCAATGTGGCTCTCCACACCTCATAATAGTTCCTCCCACTTTTTCCTTATGGTACAACTGCTGCTACAGAAATTCCCGGACTGGCTTTTGATGCAATGCTCGGTTCTACCTCAGTCAAGACAGAACCCGCAATCTTTTCGAGTAAATTATAAGACTAATTTTACTTTTTTTTCAGAATTACGAATTAGATTACTTTCGCATTCACAATAACCCTTCATTCACTCATCATTGAATATCAGAAGTCGATAACTGGATACGCATAAGAACCACCAAATACTTGAAGAACCATTAAACTCAATTATCTGGGCAACAATCGACAAATCAATAATTACTAATAATACAGGGCGTAGAGTTAGAAAAGAAATCAAAATTGATCTTATACAGGTCCATTTTTTACCGATTGTACCCGAGCGCTGCCTTCATGAAGCAAAGCGATCTTTGCTTGGCAACTTAGCTTCTCCGATAATTGTGAACAACGTTGCTCAAATTCCGACCGATGCCACCGGTGGCGAGGGCAATTTTGGAGTGGCGAGGGCAATTTTGGAGTGGCGAGGGCAAATTTTGGAATGGCGACTCTGTAATTCTGGCTGATGACGACGGGAACCTATATATACAATCCTTCGTAAAGTTCGGTACTGCCCAAACGTTGAATTTTAATAGGCAAAATATACTTACGGTGACTTCCACTTTCATTGACATTGTCTCTTATTATTAGAACTAATACGTACCCTGTGCGATGCACGGAACATACAGAACATAGATAAATGAGTTATTTTGACAGCTTTGTCTATCTAAGTCTTAAAAGTAATAGTGTTATTATCTATTTTCTACCTCTTTTAATCAACGTTAAGTCTAAAAAAAATAAGGTTATAAGTTTTTTTTCATATCTTTTAACCAGCATTGTTTTTTAGCCAGAACATTAAATATGAGTATGTTATGGCTAGCTTGTAAAATAATTAATATATTATCTCACTAAAATATTTATACTAATAAAACTTTAATTTCAACATATAAATTTATCCCTTGATATAAGAAAAAGTAACAGTTATATTTATTCATGTTCATCATATAATATTTAATTATTATTTTTTTATATAATAAAAAAGAATAGTGTTAAATACTTTTTTTAACACAAAGATAATATTAAAAAAATATAAATATCCATACAAATATACGAACCAAGTTTTTTTAATTGTTTTTTATAAGTTTTATAAAAATATATTATATTTTGTTAGTGTATTCTTCAAAATCGAAATATTGATTTGTAGTTTTTAGAAATAGAAATTTGATTGTTTTTGCTCACTCGATTTTATGGGATTTTTATGTCAATATAAGAAAGATTAAAAACAATATGTAAAATAGGATACTTGATTATAATTATAAATGCATTAATTACTACTTGATAAAATTAGAAGTTCATTAATTAAAGTTGACTTTTCTACCTACTATATTTAGTAAATAGGTTCCCCTTTAATATAAATATAGATATCACATTAATGTTTCCGTACCACAATGGAGACATGTTAACTAGTACAGAGCCCGTACGATATACTGGATGCACGATTTTAAAATCATTTATCCATTCTTATAATTATATAAGTGAATAAAAAAAAATGTACAGGATATATATAGTACGTGGCCTGTAATAGGCCAAAATGTGAACACGAGTGATGCACGGGGTGCACAATTTTAAGGTCATTTATTAGTGCATACCCCGTGCGATGCACGTGATACATATAATAAATCAATTATTTCTATAGGACTTGTACGTCTAGACAAAAAAACAATATGTTTAGATCATCCATATTTCACATCTTTTAATAAGGTGACGTTTATTTAAGCCAAAAAATTAACATGTCAATTAATATATAATTCTAACACGTCATACTAATATTTATTTGATTTTAGAATACATATTTAATCATTGATATAGGAAAAAATAAAATTTTTATTAATTATTGTTCACCATATAATACTCAATTATTATTTTATTATAAAATTTACAGTCATATAATGTAATGATTATTATTTATTAAAAGTTATAGAAGTAGTCTTCTTTATGTAATGAAATTCAAAATAAAATTTTGAGTATAAATGTTTACAAAATACACACACATGTTTTTTAGAATTCAATTTTCTCATAATAATTCTTTTTTTAAAAAAATGATTTAGCAATTGCCAAAAAATAAATCCCTTACATAATCAATAGACTTTTTATAATTTTCATCCTAAGGCTTTATAGTTTAAATAACATACTATGAAATAGAAAATTATTTTACAATAAGTTCATTTTTTATTTTTGAAATATAAAAAAAAAGTGATAAAAACACTATCATAGTTGATAATAATATACAAATAAATAACATGTCGGAATTTTAAAGAATAACTATAATTTTATTATCTAACCGTCAATAAAATCATTTAATGATGTGAACATTATCTTTTAAATAATAAATAATATTATTTTTTAAAAAAAAATATTAGTGTTATATAATTAAATAAAGGTTAAAAAATATTACTCGACAAATATTAATTATAATGGATATCAGTAAAATCATTGCATAAATTATTTAAGGAAAAAAATCTTTAAGATCATAATTGGATAGTAAATGTAAATATGCAAGCATTTAATGCATATAGTAAAAAATTTCCAAATAAAGTATACATTAAATGTGTGTTGACTTTTCTTGCTACTGTTTTTGGTAAATAGGTTGACTTTTAATACATACATATAAATATATATATATATATAGATATATAGATATTCCCACCGCTTATGTGGCATGCACACAATGGTGATGTTAATATGTTAAAAAAATACATTACCAATGTGTGCATGCTACATAAGCGGCGGTTATATTAACATGTGTCCACTGTGGGTAGGTGAGCATTGTTGTACAATATCATACATATTTTATAGACATGGCCCGTCAATGGGCCGGGCCGGAGGCCTATCATGGGTAGTGCTATAAACGAACCGAACCGAACTGAACTTGGTTGTTTGAGCTTGTGTTCGTTTACGTTCGAACAGTATTCGTGTTCGTTCGTTTATTTTTCGAGCAAAAAATTGTGTTCGAATCCGTTCGTTAATTGTTCGTCAAAGTTTGAGTTCATTAGTGTTGAATAATTTAATACATAAATTTTATAAATATGTTTGATTAACTCGAAATTTGTTCGTTCGAACTCGAAAATAGATTTTTTTTTTTATATTTTCGATGTTTTATCAAAAATTATGTAAATACATAAAAAATAAATAAAATAAATTTTAGCATTTTTATTTAAAAAATAATATGTAAATATATAAAAATAAAATAAAATTATATTAAATTAATGCTCGCGAACATAATCGAACGTACACGAACTAGCTCGTGCTCGTTCGATCATTTAACGAGCCTAATTTTCTGTTCGAACTCGGATCGATTAACAAATAAACGAACTTTTGTCGAATACAAATGAGCTTGAACGAGTTTTTGTTCGCAAACGTTCGGTTCGTCTACAGCTCTACTCATGGGTGACACTGGACCGGCCCGCCAAAAATCAAGAGTCGGGTTCGTCGAACAGGCCCAGTTCGGACCGTCGGGAAAAAAAAAAAAAAAAAAAGAAAACAAACAAACCCGCAAATGACATGTAAAGCCACGGTGCCGGTTGTGGGCTGCCCCGCCCGTGGCAATGTCTAACAATTTAGTTGAAAATATGTAGTGCTACATTTGTATTGATTAGTACACACTAAAACTAAACCAATCTTTTAGTTTCTCAGTACCTCTCATCATTCCAAAATCCAAATAGTACTTAAAATAAATTTAATAATATAATGTCTAACATATTTTCTTAAAATTAAATAACTTCATAATTTCGTAGCTTTCTTTGATCGAGATGACTCCAGGTGAGATAAGTTGCAATTTCACCAATTGAAAAATTATTGCCTCAATTTTGTTTTGCAAAAGGCTCTTCACCGTCCAACTTCAATGGATTCAGCACAACTTGGTTCATTTCCTACTCAAATGTACAAGACTAGATCATGGAGATAAATGAAAATCATGAAAACATGTTGTGAATCAAAAGTTCTTTTTTTAAAAAAAATAATTAAGAACTCAAAAAATAATTTATTGCATAAGTAATCTTCTTAAAGGAAGAGAAAACCTTTTTAGCCTCTTATAGTGGGGCAAACACTCGTACACAAATAAACTTGCTGAAATGAGATAATACAATTATAACTTATTTGCTCACAACTCTCAAACATGAAAAAAATATTGCTCACAACTCACAGGCTTATTACAAATTTTATTTGCAGAATCAGCAAACTGAAAGGAATGATCGGTGCTTTTTGCTTTCTCCAAATCGTATATTTATAGAGGTTTGAGGCTCCTCTGTCATTGCTCCACCGACGGTAGGTGAGTGGAAGTTGGGTGTATCACACATTCCTGGGTCTGTCTTTTTTAATTATGCCCCAGGTTTTATGTTTCACATGGTTGTTGTCTCCCTCGTCTCAATCATTGACTCAACTCATTATCATTCCTTTTATTTAAAACAATCTTCATGTCCCAGCGTTCAAATAAACCTCTTGCTTTCTCCTTTTGATCTGTAGGAAATTCAACTTTTTTTTAATTCTCATCTTTGGATTTTTTCTCATGACGTATTTATCATTCTTTACTGAAAATTATTTTTCAAATAATGATCTTTCTTGATATTCACAACTTGGACACATTCATTCATATCATCTTCCAACATGCATCATGTTTCACGCCTTTTGTTGTGTATTCTCGGTAGCCAACAACTATTTTTCAATAAGAGTTTCTTCGTACTTTCAAACATCTCGTTTGCAAATTTAGAAGTACACCATATTATGGTGTTAAATAAGAAGGTTCTATTTGGAGAGTTTTGATAAATTTGAATTGGATATTTGACTTTATCCATTTATGTAAAACACACCATATTCCTCATGCTAGTCTTGTTGAAACTTCATTTTCAAACATGGATGAATACAGCGGTGTCGCCTTAGACACTTTAACATAACTTAAGGTGTTCTTATATGGTCCTTGTAGCTTCATAAAATGGAAAACATGATGCCATCCATTTTTACTTATTGTTGCTAGAGCTATAGATATGAATTTTAATATTAGAACTTCACAACTTTTAAAATGTGGAGTGCAATACCATGACTCAGTGAAATGCATTAACAATCCAACTTGGTGCAATTGTGAATACAGACGCCAATGAAACATCATCCATTTTCAAACTCGAACGGGTCATACTCTTTCAATTGTCCAAACACGTGGATATTTTTCTAAATCATCAAATAAGTTTTTTAGTCTGGATATCTCTTCTAGTTATTAGATCTTGTATCTTTTGATTATAGTCCTGCTAACCATAGTAAAGATTGTTAATATCAATCTCCATTCGGCATTTTCGTCATTTACCCCAAAGGCATCAGGTTGACTTGAATAGTCCAGTTGGTTCCCGATGTTTGATTTATTTTTCTTTTTTATTTTTATGAGGAGACTAGAAGAGAACTTGTATAAATAGAGTTTACTTTTTCAGGTTGTGACACCTTTATTTGTTGTTTTTTTCTTTTTGGATCACCCATGACGATCCAACCTTGAGCGACTGTTAGAAATATATTGTGGTGGACATTACTAGTGCTAAGACTTGACGAGAAGCCTATTACCATTATTATTAGTTAGACTGGCTAGACGCCTATTACCTTAGATTATGTTATTTATGTTAGACAATTATATATACCTTGTATGCATATTAATAAAAAACATACACTTTTCTGTTCATCTATCTCGTTCTCTCTACTATTGTATTCTTGTGTTTTGTTTGGAATAATGAATATTGGGTGAATATCGAAGATTTCAATTTAAAATAATTTGAAATACAATTTTAATACCAACTCAAAAATATAGTTCAATAAAACACTCATGTAATTTTATTCAAAATTAATTTACTTTGTGTCAAATCAAAATTATTATTATTATTTTTTTTTTTGTTTACAATGTCAATGCAATTTGTTCTTGATGGGCCTATTGGAACACAATCAGTCGCTACCCGCAAACGAGAAAACGCGAAAGAAAGCAAACGACAGATATGGAGAATTCTACCCTATAAATAAGCTTTTAGGGCACGTCCAAGCTTCCCTACCCCTAGCCCTATAGTCCAGCTTTGTGCCTATGGAGGAGTCTGTATTTTCCCCTTAGGTTTTTCGACATTTTCTTCAATTTTTTTCAAGAAAATTAATGAATACAGTTGATCTATCTAGGGTTAGGAGGTGGATCGTTGCAGAGTGGTAAATTGATTGATTGTATCAATCTAAAGATTAGGGTTCCTCATTTTGCCGCAACTGCTTCTACATACACCGTTATACGTTACATATACATGTTTATTTTCTGATCTGTAGATTTTTTTTGTTCAGTTCATTCTCATCCCAATTCAAATTTTGATATTGAATTTTGGTCCTTGAATTCTGGAATTGGGATCGGGGACTAGGATTCGTTTGCTGGTTATTTGGATAGAATTTTTGTAAATTTGGGATAAAAGGAAGCCTTTTTATTGGGATAATATAATCTTGGGTCTGTTGAAGAATGGATAAGAAGAAGGTTGTAGCTCCATTAGTTTGCCATGGTCATTCTCGGCCAGTTGTTGATGTGTTCTATAGCCCAGTAACGCCTGATGGGTTCTTCCTTGTCAGTGCAAGCAAGGGTAATTTTTTTTTATTTTTTATTTTATTTATTTTTTAACTTGGGATGTTATAAGTTATTATCAATGAATGACATGTTTGTTTGATTGATCTAATGATACTGATGAATCATGTGACGACAGAGTTATTGTTTTCTGGCTTATTATTGTGTTTTTGTTAGCCTCATTAAGTTGTAATGCAATTATATTGATCACTCTTTACCCTCGTGCGACTTGTGACCGTGCTTAGCTAGTTATTCTTCTAGATCATTATGTTGGAGCTATGATGCATACTTATTTATGGTCCAGTATATATCACATTCTAAAGTGATTCTAGATTGACTTGAAATAGGCATGAAGAGAGAAAGAGAATCTAGATGAAGTCACTCTTTAGTTTGAGGATTTTTTACTTCTTCGGTATTATTTTTATAGCCCCTAATTTCAAATTTAGTAAGAATGTCTTAAGGGACTTCATTAATATACGTTCTCGAAAGATGCTTTTATGGGTAGTTTAGTTAATAGGTGGGGTCATTTTTTTTTATCTGTTTGGCTGCTGCTGATAAGGTTAGTGTCTATAATGTACATTTAATGTGGTCAGGTGGTGAAAATCATAGCACAAGTTTAACAGTGATTTTATTTTTATTTTTTTTTAAATCTTTTTCTGGATTATATAAATGCTTTAAACAACTTGTTTGGTGAGATGGAAAATAGTGACATATCTAGTGATCAATGCCGTAAACAATGTCTTGCGTATGCATATCGATTGGTTGGGCAATAGGCAAGCATGCCAAAGAAAAATGGTTTAACCATAATATATTCATATGGAAACTATTTCATGAATTGAGTTCATCTGCTCCCTCTTTTCTGTACTCATGCAACAATTTGGATTATTCATCAACCACAGATTAGTGTTATTATGGAAAAATGTTTATTAATTGAAATTGTTCTTTCTTTGTCTAGAGGTGA